TTAATCTTAAATATATTTACATATGTACATGGCTGTATTTAGGCTTGTATATATGCCCTTTGCCTCCTACTTCTTTCCTCGATTTCTTTGCAGCTTCCTCCTATGTAACATCTTAGTTTTACAATATTTCCACAGCTTTAAATCCATCAGACGTGAACTCCTAGCAAGTGAATGGCAACCCATGATTTTGGCCTTTTTCAGGAGAATCCGTTTCAAGCAGAAACAGCTGCTTACTTACTATGACGGAGGACTGTCAAGTGTCCAAACACAGATTGCAGGCGTACTCTTTCATTTTCTGTAATGGCCCATTTAAAAATGAAAACACTGTTTTAACCTATAAGGCCTAGGTCCTATACGGAAAAAATGTCAACAGGAAGGAGGAGGAAGCACTGAGTGAAGGGAATACCAAGTGCTAATGTGCATGGGATGAAACGATCAAAACTAAGAGCCTTATTATGTGAGAAAGAGGTGGCAGAAAAGGACCGCAGATCCTGACAGGAGTCTAAAGCTCCGTCTGACCCGTCCCTGATTCCTTTACGCATCCATATTTCTCGTGACTAGATTTATAGTCTTAATCAGTTTGTTCAAAAATAAGAACCCAAGTCACAGATTAAAAAGGATGTTAGAGCTAACCTGGGCCATCCCCTGAAGGCGAGCATAGTGGGCTCAGTTACTGTGGGGAGGAGGCAGGGAGCTGCAATGAATGTCTTCTTCAACAGAGCACTGAGAGCCTAGAAACTCAGGGCAATACTCCAGGTGAGAAAGGCGCTAAAGCCCAAAGCACCAAAGCTCCAAACCGCCGCAGAGACTCTTCTGGGATGTTTGCAGTCATGTCAGAGCTTGTGTTTAAATGCCAGAAAGAGGCCGACACTTTGGACTCTTGCAGCACAGGGAATTAAAACTGAGGACCTGCCTAAAACCAGTTTTATTTAAGAGCTGCATGCTCAGTGACAGGCGAGTTTAGGAGGTACAAAATCTGCTGCAGGCACACAAAGATGGCCAGGACGCTGGTCAGTTGCAGCCTGGCCTCAGAGGGGGTAAAGTGTCTGCTCCCAGATCTGTCACTAAGATCCTGCCTTCAGGTGGCTCTGGGATGCCAATTTACCTATTTCATCAGGACGGGAGCAATCAAGTCATGAAGTTAATTCAAAAAGTGAAACAGGATACTGCTGAGACACACAGAAGCAACAAATTAAAAAATCTCTCGAGAGAGAGAGCCGTCAACACAGGCCATAGAGGTCCGACTGATAAAACCCCACTAAAGATGTGCTCAGAATAAGCACTTTAAAGCATCTGATGAAATCATGTGCCACGAGTGAAGAAGGCCAGCAAGGTTTTCTAAGAATACTTAAAATGACTAAAGGCATAAAATAACGAGAAAGTGTGTGAATCTGTCACCTGGCAGAAAAGGATTAGGCCTGACTTCCATGATGGATGACCATGTGGTCACAGACTGAAACAGGATCCGAGACCGTGAGTTGGGTCTGATCACTACAGACAGGTGTACCACCTCAGAAACCTGGGACTGTGACTTGGCTGCTTGGCTTAGCTCTGGGGTTTTCGGATGGACCCCAGGGCCATACCTCATCCTCGTGGGCACTGAGCAAGGGAAACGGGCAGTTGTTTTGTGAGATCAACTGGTCACTCGTAAAGGCTTTACAGATGCTCTTAGTCCTTCTCAAGACATTGAGAGCGCCTTTAGGAAATTTTTAGTCGAAATGAAGAAATGCTATTTTTTTTAAATGGTCTCTTCTCCTTTCCACCAGGACGCTTTGAAGACTGGAACGTTACACATATTTTCCACTTCTCCAGGCAGATTTAAAAAGGAAAGCTTCGGTTACACTGTAAAATCTGATATGTAACATTTGAAACCCCTTTACTTCAATTTCTTGACACATCTGCTTTAATCACAGGACGGAAATGCTCAGTGTCTTTATTGCAGGGGTTGGAGCAGAGTGCTCCCAACAGTCACCGGGAATCATGAAGGAAAGCGGCCTCAGCAGGGAAGCTCAGCTTTTCAACTTTCCTACGGGCAGATCTTGGAGAAGCAGGACCAACACAAGCAGTAGAGAAATAAGGCAAATACATTACTGAGAAACACCCACTCAAAAGACCCTCCCCCCAAAATCCATATCCACAAACGCCCATCAGCAGAATAAAAGACAGACAAGCAGACGCACATACACTTCCTCAAGTAATTTACCATAGCTGTTCTGTTTCTCAACTAGCTTCTCCTTCTGTTAGCTGCGATCAGTCCACGCTACCAGGGTTCTGGCCATCCTGTGTCAGCTTAGAGCGATGTCTTGTTCAAAATACAGATGTGTTCACAAGCCATTTAAGGCAGAGTGGTTCTCATCTTTGGGGTGTGGGGGTAGGTGCAGGCAGGGGGCTGTACAAAAATATACTTGATCAGCCCATTCTTCCCATTCCCAGGTAATTCTACAACTCTCGCTGTAGCAGAGAGAAGCATTAACAAGTGTTCTCAACATCAAGTCTGTGCACTGGGATCACCTGAAGAGACTAGCAATCACTGACACCTGAGTCCCACCAGGCAACGACTCTAGTTTCATTAGTCTGTGACGTGGTGAGGAAGCACTCCAGTGAACAAAGGTCAACATTTTCTCCTTCATCTTCTCATCATCACCATCCAGGACATCTTGAGAAACCCTAGTAATAACTGAGAACCACTATCCGTGAAACTGGACGAAATGCATAATCATCATCTCAAAAGCACAGGTAAAGACTGTCAATAGCAACTGGCAAAAAAGGCCATCAATGTCAGAAGTCCCTGCAACCATACACTTTCTGAAATTAAAAGGCATCCCGTAAAGTATAAAAGTTATGCTCCTTGTTTGTCCCAACTGACGTGTGAATTGAGCATTCAGAGCTGACGACACAAGCCCTCGGGGGCCCTGGCTTGGTTCTGGAAAGCAGAAAAGAAGAGTCACATTTGTAAGAAGCCATCAGTGTCTAAGGAAGCACAGACAAAGCCATAAGCTGGGGAGAAAGTAAGCTATCCCGATCCCTGGCTTCCTCTCCCCAGAAACCCCATGCAATAGCTAGTCTAGT